CTTTTCCCTACTTGTGGACTCAGATTTACTAAAAAGACTCATCTTTGTTTACCACTAGTAGAAACCAGGGCTGCCGTAGTAAACACTTGATGGTGTTCCTCTGCCTCTAATGGCTGTATAAGAGAGAATTTCAGCAGATGCTGCTTTATATCTGGTAATGGAGTCCTCTTCACTTTTCAGAGCCAGCATGGTTTAGGTGTTTTAGTGTTGGATGTGGGACCCTACCACACTACACTGTAATACTGCTATTATTCCACTTTAACTGCCATGACAAAATTATGTGGAATTCTGGAGTTTGTAGTTTATTAAGACCCAAGCTTTCACTGGATGAAAACACTAAATGATCTTCCCCAAACTGCAGGTCCAGGATGTATGGATGTCCTTGCCAATGTTTGTTTTGTGTCATGTTTCCTTTGTGACCAGATAATTAGGCAATAAAATCCTTTGCATAGAATTATATTCTTCAGGTATAGGTACTAGAAAAAACAAGGTATTTTCCTCTCTGTGAGAACATAATTATATTAAATGGAGATTCCCATTAATAAGAAGCTCATTTTAATCCTTTTAAGCAATAGGAACAGCTTAGCTGAATGAATGATTTGTTAAGAAATATTATTTATATGTAATATTTCTAACCTCTCTATAAAAAATCTCTGGACAGTTCACACCAGGTGCCATTTTGTCTTCAAAACACATAGGTTTCTGAACTCTATTTTATCTTCACAGTGCTATAATGCAGGTAGGTAGCCCATACTAGTGACCATGCTAGTATTCAAATCAAATGTTCCTCCAAAGAAAGCTTACTATCATATATTCTACAGCACACTTGTTCTGATCATAGTCCAGAGCCAAATACAAATAATGTCACTATATTGGATATTGATGGTTGATTAACAAAGAAGTCTTCACTGCTAAAGGATGGATTCATTTTATATGTGTGCATAAACTTATCTTTCCAGCAACAGGAGCAGTAGCAACTAAAACTCAGACTAATGTTTAGTTTATTTCTAAGTCTCATTATTTTAAAATTATTATTTTGTTGAATTTATACTTCACCTTTCCCCTGAGTGCCTCACAATAATTTAAAACAAGATTAAGCTAAAAAATTTAACTTGCAGGAAAATAATAGCACAGTTTAAACAACCATGGTTTTAAAAAGTTAAAAACATGTTTAAAATAATATGCCTATGTGTAAAAATATTATATGTATGTTTGATCCAGAAAGGCTCCTACATGGTTTGATGGACCAGGCCACACTTGGCATTCTGTTTTTAAGCTATTCTAGACATAATGATAGAGTTGATAGTCTATGGGAGTGTGGTCTACTGGGTCTAATTCCTTCAGAACCCAAGTCAGGGGCCTCATAGCACAGGGCTAAATTCTAAATCCGGCATCAGCTATCAGCTATATGATTTTATAAATGTTTTTTCTAATGGGGCCAATCATAAAATCCACATACCCAGCATGATCCAACTTAACTGAAAGGTTTGGGTGTTCCTGATAGAGAATGATGAGAGTTTTAATCCACTCACATCCAGAGAGCCATGTGAATCCCACCAACAATAGATCTGGTGCAAATTTGGCACACATACCCATCACAACCAATTTAAAATACTGGAGGGGTTTGGAGGGAAGGACAGAAAATGATGGGAATTGTAGTTCACCTATATCCGGTGAGCTGTGTGTATCTTTCCTATGATGAATCTGTATCCAACTTGGTACACATACCCTTCCTGATCCAATTTAAAATACTGGTCAAGTTAAGAGAGGATAATGGGAATAAAAATCCAAACACATCTGGAGAACCGTGTGAGTTCCACCCACAACTGAAGGCATTCCTCTCCTCCTACCTGATCAGATGACTCATCCTATTTACCAGCCTGTATTTCCCAACATCCTTACCCCCTTCACTTCACAGGGATGATTGAAGTTGCACCCCAACAAAAAGGCTGATCTGTCCGACCACTTAAGAGCAGATCTCTGACTACCACCAACGCAGATCTGGGATGAATGGGAGGTCGACAACAGATAGATCTGGGGGTAATGGGAGTTACAGCCTGATCAGGCTTTGACAGATGGGAGTTGCAACCTATCAGCTATATGATTTTATAAATGCTTTTTCTAATGGGGCCAATCATAAAATCCAAAACCAAACTATGACTGTTTATAATAAATAGCTTTATAAAATAACAAACCCATAATTGAAATCAAAGGCCTACCTGAATATAAAGGCCATCAACTTCTGGTAGAAAAGGAGAAGGAAGTGGGCCAACTAAATCTCCCATGGAAGGGAGTGCCACAGCCTATGAGCAACCACAGAGAAGGCTCTGGTGTGCATATTATTCCTTACTACTGTTGAATTTGTTCATTTTTACTGCCTCTTTAATTATTATTTTTTATTTTGGTACGTTCCATTATCCAAGTGGAGGCCACTAGGGGGAGCTAGAGAAAGAAGGATAGTCTATTTTATGGGGGTGGAGGGTGAGTTGAAGGAGTTAAACCATTTCCCCCTGTTTTACTGTTATTCTCCCCACCCATGTCGCCATTGTGGAAACAACCCTCGTTTATTATATGAGCAGGGGGGGAGGCATAACCAGTGAAAATGGGAAAAATTGTTTTCCTCCTTCAATGCCCCCCCCCCTTTAAAATGGACTATTCTTATCTCTCTAGCTCCCTCTAGCGGCTTCCACTCAGATATGGAACAGTACTTTAGTTTCTTCAAATGGTGGAACAGGCAGAATAGAAATGTATTGAATAACCAAACAGGTATTGGGACTGTGTTTATATGTGAAGAATGGAAAATTTTAAAAGAAGCAAAATATTTTGATTCTTTCTTAACTCTGTAGAAAGGTATCAATTTATCAATTACCTTTAATTGAGAGTTTCAGCAACAAGGCCTTAGAGAGCTTTCCTTAATCCGAACTTGGTGTTAATGCACCTGCAGGAATAATCACCTTGCTAGTGATAGAGTAATAGCGGCAGCAGAAACTGCAGATTACTCTTGCTGGTGCTGAGTGCTCAACACAGCTGGATTCTGACCTATTTCTATGTCTCTAGACTTTTTCCAGCAGAGATAGACTTATGCTGTATTTCATGCTGCTATCCCTGGTTCTTGACAACTCCCTAGTAAGCTTTCAATTTAGATGGTTTTTAATTAGGACAAACATTCAATAGGAAGTAGGACACACAGGCCCCATGAGTCCAATGGGTTTTGAGGCTCTAAATTACGGATAATATACTGTTTTCATACTTGAAGGGAATTGTGTTTAGGACCGAGCTTGAACACAATGCCGATCAAAGATGCCACAATTTTCTTAGCCATGGGAGCAAACACAAATGTAGAACTTTCAGGTCCAGTAAGTTCGGAAATATCATGTGATAAGGGAAATTCTGGACTGAACCTTTTTTATTATGTGGTGTGCGGTGGTCGCATTTTTTTCTGTAGAAAGCTTTTCTATGTACAAGAACTCCCAGTATATAGTATAAGATTACCAGATCAAGACTATCCCAGGCTTAGATACCCCTTCTGCGCTGCCCTATATCCAAGCATCTGATCCCATATTATCTGCTTTAAACTGAGTCTCAATTGCCAGATAATCAGAGATACAATAATCTGGGATCAGATCCTGGGATTTAGGGGCAATGTGGAATTGGCATGAAATCACAAAAGAAAAACCAAAAACTTGGGGACTTATGAAGACACAGAAGGTGGGCTGCATGTATTTACAAGTTTGGTGTTACAAGGGGCACCCCCAGAAGATGTTATTAAGTATGATGGCTATGAGGTATCAACCACAACTACCCAGACCAGTACGTTCAGTCAAAAACACCTTGTGTAACAAATGAAAACAATGCATACACCTTTTTCAGGGAAGATGTATTCCCTGACATTTCTTCTCCTTGTCAATATGTTGGCCAAACAGGGCATAGGGTTACAGCCTGTGTTGGAGATGCATCTCCCCCTGGAGATGCAGGTTCACAGCTTGGGAGTGATCCTGGACTCACCTCTGAGCCTGGAATCCCAGGTCCCGGCGGTGGCCAGGAGAGCTTGTGCACCATACTCTGGGAAGACTGATCTGGCCACGGTGGTCTACTGCAATGCACTCTACATGGGGCTGCCTTTGAAGACTGCCCAGAAACTTCAATTAGTCCAATGGTCGGCAGCCACGCTGCTCACTGGAGTGGCGTACAGGGAGCATACAACTCCTCTGTTATGTCAGCTCCACTGGCTGACAATCAGCTTCCAAGCACAATTCAAAGTGCTGGTTTTAACCTTTAAAGCCCTAAACGGTTCTGGCCCAGACTACCTGTCCGAACTTATCTCCTGATATGAACCATCATGAAACTTAAGATGAAACTTAAGATCATCTGGAGAGTCCCTGCTCTCAACCCTACCGACATCGCAAATGTGATTGGTGGGGACAAGGGACAGGGCCTTCTCATCAGGGACCCCTGCCTGTGGAACACTCTCCCCAGGGACATCAGAATGGCCACCTCCCTCCTGTCTTTTAGAAGAAAAATCAAGACCTGGCTTTGGGACCAAGCATTCAATTAGTGAGCAGCAAGTAAAAGAAGATTTTAACACTTATAGCAATGATTTGACCCGGGCTGGATTTTAGACTCTGATTCTAATAGGCATGTGTTAATCAATTGTTTTAATATTGTTAATATTTTAATGTATTGTTGATTGTTTTATTATGATGACACTGCATGGTGCTTGTGAGGCTGCCCTGAGTCCCCCCTTGGGGGTGAGAAGGGTGGGGTATAAATATAGGAAATAAATAATAAATAATTGGAAAGGAAGTATCATGCCCTGGATTTGGAGACACAAGTGTGGTAGTATGTAATAACCTCCTCAGAGTTTTAAATTGTTGAACTATGTGATATCTCTGAATACATAGATTCAATCTAAATCTATTCAGTTCTATATGCTTCTGAAATCAATTTAACCAACCAGTTATCAGAAAACCAAAAGTTTTGTTGAACGTGCTGCAACTTACCTGTATAGATTGTTATGAAATTTGTTATAGGAAGACAAAGTAATCAGACCACCCCATGCCGCAGACAAAGAGAAAAAGATCTGAGTGGCAGCATCCTTCCACACCTAAAAATGTCCAATGGAGATGATTAATGAAAACATCAAAAAATGTTCATAGATTCATAGAATCACACATTTGGAAGAGACCTTGTGGGCCATCCAGTCCAACCCCCTGCCAAGATTCCGTAAAATCGCATTCAAAGAAAAGGTTACAGGTTCTACAAAGGTAAATATGTAACTAATGATCTGGACTGTGATTCAATGGAGTTATCCAAGATGCTATATGTAAAGACTGGGTCCAATTAGCTAGGCAAAGCAGGTAGCTTTAAGCAGCAGAATTAAGGGGAATCGTTGAAGTCAAGAACATGTGATATTCGAAAATATAGGACATAGCAAAGGAGTTCTGGGTTGTTGTAGGTTTTTTGGGCTGTATGGCCATGTTCTAGAAGCATTCTCTCCTGACGTTTCACCTGCATCTATGGCAAGCATCGTCAGAGGTAGTGAGGATGCCTGCCACAGATGAAACAGGTGAAACATCAGGAGAGAATACTTCTAGAACATGGCCGTATAGCCCAAAAAACCTACAACAACCCAGTGATTCCAGCCATGAAAGCCTTTGACAACACAAAGGAGTTCTGCTTTAGTACTGACACAACACTGATAAGTAGCTTTCTAATGACCTCATCAAACGAGTGGTTGTCAGTGTTGTAAGATTCTTTCGCTCCAGTTGAGCCATGAAACTTGCCCCCCCCCTCGCCCCAATCAGACAATGCAAGCTCACTTCCAGTGGGGCTCCATGACTCAGCTGGGGTGCAAGCATCCGATAATGCTGCACCAGGAAGATAGGAGGCTTCTGTGTTCCATTGCAATCCAAGACAGTGCAGGGGGAACCTTCGCAGCAATGCTTCCCCATGTGTGATGTTGGTGAGGTGGGGCATCGGGATTGCCCTGCTGCTCTGCCAATTTGCCATGGGGGCTGGTGAATCGACTGGAGGACCTCATCAATGTGATGAGGTCCTAAATGTTACTATGGCTGACATAATTAGGTTGGGATAATCCAGTCAGTGATAAACTGTCCATGCCGATCAAGCCCTGGGGGCCTTTTGCACAACACAATTAGAGTGTCATGATTCCACTTTAAGTGGTTTGGGTTGACTCTATGAAATCCTTGAACTGGAAGTTTAGGGAGGGGCACTTAGAATTCTTAGGCATAGATCCTTAATATCTCACCATACTACTATAAACCCCAGGGTGACAGAGGATGCAACCATAGCAGTTAAAGAAGAATCACATTACTACAATTGTATGCTGTAATTGGGCTCCTGATATCATTCATTGCTTAGCTATAGGAAAATGATGGGGATCCTTTAGACCCAGGAGTAGGGAAAGCATTCTCCCAATCCCTTTTTGATCTACTCAATCCTCCCCGAGTTCTACTAAGTTCCAGACCCTACTACCACCATTTTGAAAATATTTTTTTATGAATGATCACCTGGAAAATGTCAAAAACGCAACTTGAAATGTCATTATGCCTTTATGCACTCCTCCCCAAACCTCTGGAATTGCCAAAGTGTATTGCCAGTGAAAAATATCACCTTAAAATGACACCAAAAAAATCAGGAAATCAAAACCTGTTTGTTTTTTTTCCTGTGCCTGGTTAATTTGGAGATACATATTTGGCTGAAAACTGCAATTCTGTGGCCTACAGTTGAACTTTGAGATAAATATTGTTCCTCACCACAGTTGCCCACCACTTTTCTAGCCTTCTAGGTATTTTGGATCAAACTAATACAATCTCTTACCATTGGCTATGTCAGATGGGGCTTCTGGAAGTTGAAATCCAAAACATCTGGATTTCTTCTGTAATAAAGCCTAGTAGCTAGAAGGTAGAATATTTATGAAACATACATCTAAATCCAGCCAGTAGAACCACTGAATCAATGGTACTTACATGTCTACTTACCAAATTCCCATTGATTTAACTGGCCTACTCTAATCAGGACTAGTAATTATATTTAAGACAAGAACACATCTCTGCATGAACTGATATGATTAAGAAGATTATGTTCATTCACAAGAACTATCAAGAAGGAATGATATTCTCACTAATTGTTCATAGAACAATTTTGGGGTGTTGTAATCAAGTAATAGTCTTGCTTTACATATGGATGTGGGTTGCCTATATTAATACTGTTTAAATCAGTTATTCCCAAACTTTGGTCTTCTAGATGTTTTGGACTTGTATTCCCAGAATTCCTCATTCTTGGTCAAGATGGCTGGGGCTTTGGGGAATTAAAGTCCAAAACAGTTGGTGGACTAAAATTTGGGAAGCACTGATTTAAACCAAAGGTAGCCTAAAATCAATGGTATCAATTCCTTTTCAAAGTTGCAACATCAATGTACAGTAGCAGTTAAATAGCATTTCTTTTATGCTTAATTAGTTTTTCTTCCAAGTAGAAGAGTTAATTATTTCAGATATTTACATCATGGCTTTCCAATTTTACAGAAATTCCCCATTCCAACGAAATACAAAAACATAATTTAAAAGAGGATGCAAAACATAATGAAATATCAATACATTGATAAGATAAATAAAATCAATATGATCAGATAAAACAGCAGAAAGCAACCATTTATTTATCATCCAGAGTTGACATCACTGTCAAGTTAGATGTCAACTCTGGATGGTAAATCCAGAGTTGGTAAATCTCAGAAGAAATGCTTTCATGTGAGCACCATCATAGAGAAGATCTTTAGATCACAACCTTCCTAACTTCCAAGTCTGTAAACATCATCTGAACAATTGTGATGGTTCCTATAGGATAAGAAAATCCTTTAGTGCACCAAGCGTTGGATATAAAGTTCTGTAATGATGAAAACTAGTGAATTATAGTGAACTAAATTTAGTGGAGGTGTTTTCGGACCACTCCAATCTCCAATTCGTCATAGTAATCCATCTGCCCTATTTTGCACCAGTTGAGGTTTCCATGTTTTACTGGCCTTCGAGACATACTTTTTTAAATCAATTGGTTTCAAATATCTTTCCCTTAATGGTTTAATAGTGCTCTCTGTGTGTGCCTGTGTGTGTGCATGGACTTTCAAGTTGCTTGTCAATTTATGATGACCTCATGAATATAGATTTTTCTTAGGCAGTCCTTGGAGGTGGTTTGGCAATCTCCCACCCACTTGGCAGTCTCCCACTCAAGTACTAATCATGGCTAATCCTGCCTAGTTCTCAAGATCAGACAGGCATTGGTATTTTGCTCTGAAAATATTTTGAAAAAAATTATATGGCTATCTTTATAATCCTGGGCAGTATTAGTTTTTCTACTGTTGTTTATTAAATATTGCTGTTGATGTTTCCTTTAAAGAAATCTTATAAGGGCTATGTCCTTCCTTTTTTAAAAAAAATGTTATTACTGTGTGCCTTCAAGTTGTTTCTGACTTCTGGCCATCTTAAGACAAAGAGGTTCCTTGGCAGAGGAGGTTTGTCTTTGCCTTCCTTTGAAGCTAAAAGAGAGTGACTTGCCCAAGGTCATCCAAAAGGTTTCTAAGGTCAAGTAGAGATTCATCATAAAATAGCTTGTTGTTACTGGAACTAGACAGTTATTGGTGGGTTCCAGCAATGCTTTTCTATTGAATTATATTTAATCATGACTAAAGGTATCTCCACAAAGTTTGGGTGCTATCTACTGTAATGCAAAATCACTACATCTTGTATTATAAATCGACAGGTGATCAGGTGATTTTTTCATATCCTTCTCTCAGACCCTTAATTCCATCCAGAATACTGCATGGATATGGGGCAAAAACAGCCTGAGGACAATTCTACATATTTATGGTCATGTTGCACATCCTTGCACTGAGAGTTGATGTTACCCACCAAAGCATGTACCAAAAGGAAGCAAATAATGAATTTTATAAAAGTGTAGTGCAAAGATGCATAACAGTTTAATCATAAAAGATAGCATGAAACTAACACAATATTGTTCCTACATCTCTGTTAGCTTTTCTAATGTACAACAAATAATAGGTTCATATGAGTTATTCACCCTATTAGAGTGCTAGAACTGGAATTATAAGCCCACCATAGCATCAGTTAGTTTCTCCCACTTAGGTGTGATGAAGTACCAGATTCCAGCCCCGGCTCCTGGAAGGGTTACTCCTCTGAAGAGCAGGATGATAAGCACTACATAAGGGAATGTAGCAGTAAAATACACCACCTAAAGAGACCATACATAGACAAAGAATTACTCACTGGCATTGCTCTTGTAAGTAGTGTTAGTGCCTTACTGTCTATAATAAACCATTACATATGCAGAGAGTCAATGATATTGAGACTTATAGAGATAACAGGATTATCAATTAAACAGGTCTTCATGAGTGTAATGCTTAACCAAACAGATCTTGATAAAACATTAGCAGAGCAGACATCTTGTGCACCAGATCATCAGCCTTTATTGACATTTAATAATACCAAGTCTGTGATCTTTATCATGTATATGCTTGGGATTAAGTTTAGCTGAGCCTACTTCAAAATAGGTAATGGACATACATAAGATTGAACTATCACATAACTTTGTTATGTTGTGGTGTTTGAGGATAACAGAGAACTACTGCATCACACTGTTATGACTGGGATCAATATTTTGACTACATAATTTAATCATACTTCATATTTATTTATTTATTTATTTATTTGGAGTCCTTCTATCCCGCCCTTCTCAACCCCCTAGGGGGGACTCAGGGCGGCTTACAAAAGGCACAATTCGATGCCCAACAGTTCACTTAATACAATATACAAAATACAATATAAAGACAACAGTTATAACTAGTTAAAACAATCAAATTAATACAATAGCAGCAATAAAATCATCTTGTGGTCAACGTTCGCCAATTCATAAATCCATAATCCATCCAGCATTGTCATTGTCCTTTCCTACTCTGGTCATCATTGTCTTTTATACTTCATAGTCAAATATGAAGATATAAATACACTTTATACGTGTATGCTAATCTTTTTAATGTAGTTCTGTCTTTTTAAACCCAAAAGGACAGGAATTATAGATGGCATTCCATGAAAAATCCACATATGAAAAACAAGCATTTAGGAGAATAGCCAATAAGTGTCTCAATGAACCCTCAACTTTTCTTCAGCTGCAAACCAACTAACATGCTAGTATCACATTTCTCAATAAGCTATTAAGCACTAAATATTTAGTACAATGTGTAAACCATCAATAGACCTTTAAACTTAACATTCGATCTGAAGGCAGATATTCACTTACTTTTCCTGAAGTCTTTATTCCTTTAGCCAGGGAGGCATACACGATTGCCCAAGCCAGAAAGAGAGCCAGTGCCAAAGGCCATCGGATTTCACCAGGATATTCAATCCCTGCTGAAATCTTCAATACGTGGTACCTGGTGGTCAAAACATCATTGTGGATCATTGTGGGCTACATTCCAAAGTACAGTCATTTGTATGAAGTTAAATACATATAATTCTAGTTTTCTATAAGTACTGCAACATTATTATTTAACTTTTGCATCACGATTTTGAAAAAAAACATACAAATATTGTATGCTTCACAACTGTAGAGGTCAAATGGAAATGTGGTACTTTCAGAAATATGTGGAGTATATAGCAGGCATTCAATATAGGCAAAAGCACCTATAGGCAAATAGATAGACATTATTTTAATCTAGAATGTCTGAACTTAAGTTCTTACTGTTAACATGAATAAAGACTAAAGCTTTGCAGAAGCAGCTTTCTCAGCAGGCTGATCATAGTGCAAAAGAGGAGCTGTTTCTCACAGAGAAGGCTTGAACATATTCCCAAAAAGCCAAAAAGTGCACTGTGATATTGCTGTTTTATATAACAGACATCATTTTGTTATACATACCATACATTTGTAAATAACAGCCCATAAACATCTGTGGATTTTTATATCCATGGTAAGATCCTGGATAACCCAGCAAATACCAAGGGCACATTGTACAATTATTTTTGTTATATATAATTACATTGCTGTTGTATTTTGTAATCTATTCAGATAATTTTGTGTCAGGACTCGGTTTCCTGGCCTTGGAAGGTGGCGCAAAAAACCGGATTCCTGACATGGAGAACTGAT